AACCCCCTTCCCCTCCCCCTTTTCTGATGAAGGGTCTAGGCCCGAAACGTCAGCCTCTCTGCTCCTATGATGCTGCTTGGCCTGCTGTGTTCATCCAGCCCTGCACCTTGTTGTCTCGGATTCTCCAGCATCTGCAGTTCCTACTATCTCTGAAGGTAATTGTAATGTGGCTAATTCACACCTGCACAAAGAGGCTTGAGTTAACTCACAAGGGATACAATCTCTAAAGGAATATATTTGAGCCTCAGACCATTTTGAATTAGGCAAGAACCTATAATTCCCTCAGAGATAGTAGGATGCTTTCTCCATGGCAATGTGTCAGCCAATCAGTGTTGACTTCTCAACCAGTCAGCAGCTTGTTTTTCTGCAGTACGTGGTTTGGTAATTCTTGCATTTGTCCTGACAAGTGCACAATGAAAAACTTTGACATTGTATCTGTCTTTAGAGCAATAAATGAGATGCATTGATTGGCGGGTAGGGGTCAGTCTCAGTAAACACCAGCCAATCATCTCCAGTTTTGTGTTGAAACATTCTCATTATTTCTTCTTCTCTCCTGCTCAGATTTTCACCCGATATGGGAAATGCTACACCTTCAACTCAGGGAAGGATGGGAAGCCCCTCCTCACTACAATGAAGGGAGGCACAGGGAATGGCCTGGAAGTGATGCTGGACATTCAGCAGGATGAATATCTGCCGGTTTGGGATAAGACAGGTGAGAAACCGAGATGAGAAGAACAGGGAATTGGGGCTCGGGTCGGGCACGGCAGGAGTACACTGAGGTGAGGGGACAGGAGGGGCAGAAAGGAGGGTTGGGGAGGAGAGGGAGTGGGGTTGCCTGGAAATCCCAGTGATCCGGGGGAAATCTGCTAATGGAATAGCACAACTCAATGGAGACAATGCAGGAAATCGGGAATAATCACTCACTGAGCACAGGTCAAAGACTGGAAATGTTGGGAGAGGGTGGGAATGCTAGAGGAGATTGGAAATTCTTAGAGAGTGGGAATTCTGTGAGAGATGGAATACTGGAGGAGATTTGGAATGCTGGATGACAATAGTAATTCTGGAGGAGACTGGGAATGCTATGAATGGGATTGTTAGAAAAGAGTGGGAATGCTGGAAGAGAATGGGAGTGCTGAGAGAGGTAATTTTTTTGGCTTGTGTGTTTTAGTTCTTTGTTGTAATATCTCCTTTTGTGGCTTCTCTTCCAGAATGATTCCTGAGTAGTGTCTTGCAACATTTAATTCCTGTAAAGGTGATGTAACCCTTGGCCGATATTTCAGGGTGCTTCCTGGACAGACCTTCTCACTGAGTGCATGCAGAGATATGAGGTCAAGGGACTAAAACCTTAATCAAAGGGAAAGGTTTTTAGGGAGTGTCTTAAAGGTAGAGATTAAGGTGGAGAAGCTGTTACATATTGTTGTATTATATTATATGTGTGTGTAATATTGTGGATCTAGGAACTAAAGTAGTATGTGCAAGTGAGAGGGAACATTGATGGATAATGTATGATTTATATATTTGTAATCAATATCATTTTTCTGTAAGCTTGGATTTATGATTTTTGAATTAGTAGCCTGTAGATTTTCTTTGTATCTGAAGTTAATTAACTTATTAGTAATTCTGTAGCCATGGTGATCTCTTTTAACTGGGTTTTTGAGGCCCAGCTTTAGAATTAATGTGTTTGCATGCATTTTGTTGGTAAGGTTTTATGATTGAACAAGATCAGCAAGCTCCAGTTTAGAAGGTCAGGAGAGGTTTTCTAATCTTAACAAAAACACCCATGGCTTAGGGAGGGAGATGTTTTCTTGTGGTTTTATTTTCAATGTTGGGCAGTCATGTGAGGTTCTTGAATTAAGATGATTATATAGATCAGTGGTCCTGAGAGAGGAAGAATACTGTGAAAGGGGTTTACAGTTTTTAAGCAGATTTATAGCTCGGGTTGTGGATGAGGTTGTAGGCTTGCTCACTGAGGCGGTGTGTTTGATTGCATACGTTTCGTCACCCTGCTAGGTAACATCATCAGTGCGCCTCCGGTGAAGCGTTGGTGTTCTGTCCCGCCTGTGATTTATATGCCTCGGTTTGCTGTGGTGGTTGGTATTACTTCCGGTTCTGTTTTTCTGTGGTTTGTATATCAGGTCCAGTTCAATGTGTTTTTTGATGGAGTTCTGGTTGGAATGCCAGGCCTCAAGGAGTTCCCTGGCATTTCTTTGTTTAGCTTGTGCTATTATAGATGTGTTGTCGCAATTGAATTTGTGTCATTCTTTGTCCCTGTGTATTGAGAGCAGTAAGAATTGGTCGTGTCTGTTGGTGATTAATTGGTGTTCGTGTATCCTTATTGTCAGTTTTCTTCCAGTTTGGCCTATCTAATGTCTCTCACAGTCTTTGCATGGTATTCTGTATATTATGATAGTTTTATTGGTTGTGGGTATGGGATCCTTTACGTTCATCCATAGCTATCGCAGGGTGGTTGTTGGTTTGTGGGCTACCCTAGGGGTCTGAGTAGTCTTGTGATAATTTTTTTTTCTATTCATTTTGCGGGATGTGGGTGTCACTGGCTGGGTCAGCATTTCTTGTCCATCCTTATTTGCCCCTTGAGGAGGTGATGGTGAGCTGCCTTCTTAAACTGCTGCAGCCCACATGCTGTGGGTTGAACCACAATGCCATTAGGGAGGGAATTCCAGGATTTTGACCCAGCCACAGTGAAGAATGGCGATATATTTCCAAGTCAGGATGGTGAGTGGCTTGGAGGGGAACTTGCAGGGGGTGGTGTTCCCATGTATCAGCTGCCCTTGTCCTTCTAGATGGAAGTGGTCGTGGGTTTGGAAGGTGCTGTCTGAGGATCTTTGGTGAATTTCTGCAGTGCATCTTGTAGATAATACACACTGCTGCTATGAGTGTTGGTGGTGGAGGGAGTGGATGCTTTGAGTAATTCTGGGTTGCTGCAGTGTGTTGTGGCCTGTTTGAATAATGTTCTGATGCAGCAGAACAGGAGCTCTTATGTGGAGTTTTAAAAGGAATGGATACCCAAAAAGCACAATCCGCCATTACCTCCACGACAGACCACAACAAGAAGACATAACACAGCCAGACACGCTAGTCACCCTACTGCACATCAGAGACATATCAGAAATGACCACAAGACTAAATAAAAACCGAAAGAACTGCGAACGCTGTAAATCAGGAACAAAAACAGAAGTTTCTGAAAAAGCTCAGCAGGTCTGGCAGCATCAGTGAGGAAAAAAATCAGAGTTAATGTTTCGGGTCAGTTCTGAGGAAGGGTCACCGGACCCGAAACATTAACTCTGTTTTTTTCTTCACTGATGCTGCCAGACCTCCTGAGCTTTTCCAGCAACTTTGTTTTTGTTTCTGATTTACAGGCTCCGCAGTTCGTTCAGTTTTTTATTGAACTAGTAGCACGGTGGCCTTACCGATGCTTCTGTGCCTGTAAGGATAGTGTTGCGGTAAAATGGTTAAATCTTTCTTTTGGATATTTGTAATATAGTGTGATATAGTTTGTGCTTTTGTTCTTTCATTGAAAGTACATTGACCACCTCTTGTGAAAATGTTGAGTAACCTACCTCCACGGTAAGCAGACTGTAAAAACACAAGCAATGTGCAACAAAAACCAGTAGGAACCAGGTCTGTTTCACCCTGAACTGGGGGCCCTTTCTCTAAAGCAGCCTGCATGAATGATACACAATAGAGTACTTGTTTCTACAAGTACAAAGTGCGGTCATCTGTGCCTCACAGAACTCAGATCAGCGTTCAGAGGGGAAGAGGTTTAGGGAGGAAATTCCAGAGCTCAGGACCTCAGCAGCTGAAGACTGTTGAGTAATTTAAATCAGGGATGTGCAAGTGGCCGCGGGAGAGAAGCACAGCGATTGCAGAGGCTGGGGGATAATACAGAGATAGAGAGACGTGAAGCCATGGAGGCATTTGAAAATGGGGCCAGTAGGAGTGCACTGGAATAAATAGAGTTCAGGGGTAGCGCAGGCACAAGTGACAGTTTTTATAGTGTGTTCTTATAGTTAATAGATGTTTCTTCCTCTCTCTCTCTATCTCTCCCCCCCACCTCCTTCGATTTAAAAATCCAACTTGCAGAAGAAACGTCCTTTGAGGCCGGTTTGAAGATTCAGATCCACACACAGGATGAGCCCCCATACATTCACGAGTTGGGGTTTGGAGTTGCTCCAGGTTTCCAGACATTTGTGTCCACACAGGAGCAGCGGGTAACATACCAATTAGGTTTGCTCCAATGCAAACGTCATGAATAGAAAATAGCTCTATTGTAAAGAACAGGTCACTGGAACAAATGGTGGAGAAAAGAAAGGATTCCTAATCTACCACTATACAACTTAAACTATATCCCTCAATTTGATAATGACAAAAACAGGTATAACAAATTTACATGGTTATCATTTCAAACTTGAATGTAGAATTTGATGATCTGACAACCCATTCCGATCTGGTGATCGAGCCCCGTTCTGGTGAGCTACATGTTATTCTCGGTTGCTCTTGGCTGACACCTGCTGATTGTTGTCACTCAGCCTCATTGCGCAGTCATTGCGAGAGTTTTCTTGCTCACTCTCTGTGAGTAGGATCAGTGTGTCGTACATTGGGTCTGAGCAGATTCTGTTCCCTCACAATGTAGAACCACGATCAGTATTGACTTTGCTACAATCTGGGCTGGTTACATCCTACAGTGGTATCTAGGTATCTGTATTTCTCACTCACACACCCTGCCCGGTGTGTCACTGTGGTTGTATTCTAGCTGCTTGCTGGTCATGGATCTCTTTCATTTTCCTCTATCTTTAAAAAAGACTGTCCTGTGACCTGCAGTAGTTAGACAATCGGTTACTAGATAAGGTAATGCACACTTGTGATCCCTTCTCCATTGGTGCAAACCTTGCGTCATTGATCATTGATTGGATAGTACATACATACATTCTGCTGAACTGTTTCACCATGGAGAGTGGGGAATAATGTGACATGGGACATTCATCACTTGCTACATGTCTTGAAGTAGTTTGCCAGTGAACTGTTGTCAGATACTTACTCTGCACTCTTCCACAACAAATAAACTGAAAATCACAGGCATTGATGCAGTGACTTTTAAAATTCACTCATAGGACATGCAGGTTGCTGGCTGGGCCAGGATTTCTTACCCATCCCTAGTTGCCCCTTGAGAAGGTGGGGGTGAGCTGCCTTCTTTATCCGCTGCAGTCCATGTGCTGTGGGTTGACCCACAATGTCCTTAGGGTGGGAATTCCGGGATTTTGACCCAGAAACAGTGGAGAAACGGCAATATATTTCCAAGTCAGGATGGTGAGTCCTTGAGGGGAATTTGAAAGTGATGGTGTTCCATGTCCTTCAAGATGGGAGTGGTCATGGGTTTCAAAGGTGCTGTCTATGGAGCTTTGGTGAATTTCTGCAGTGCGTCTTGTAGATAGTACACACTGTTGCACATTCATTTATACAGACACATTAATTCATACTCAAACACATGTTCTGTACAATCAAATTGAGCATGTTCAAGCCCGGGCAGTTTTGTTGAATTTCCAAGGAGCTCACAGTTCTCCTGTTGGTTTCTCCACGGCAGCACCTTGGCCAAACAATGCTGACTTGCCGACCAATCAGCACCAGTTCCCCTGTAGTATAAATTGTTGTGTTGGTTTGAAATTTCAAATCTTGTGTTTGTTCTGATGAGCGCAAGGCAAACCCTCCAGCAACACCCCTCTCTTTTCAGTGAGACTGCTGTTAGAGGAAGCTTGTTAACAGCATAAACCCTGGCATGCAGTTGTTGCTCTGATTCTTTTATTTCCAACATTCATTCACACGATGGGGCTATCACCTGCTCTTTTGCCCATCCTTGAGCTGATGAGTCTTGCTCAGGCCATTTCAGAGTGCAGTTAAGTGTCAATCACATTGCTGTGGGTCTGGAGTCACATATAGGTCAGACTGGGTAAGCATGGTAGATTTTCTTCCCTAAAGGAATGAGAAGCATTTTTAATGACAATTGATAGTGGTTTCCTGGTCACTGTTAGTCCAACTTTTCACTAAATTCAAATGTCATTGTTGCAGTGGGATTTGAAGCCATGTCCCTAAAGCATCTTGTTACTAGTCCAGAGACATAACTTTAGCCCTACCAGATCCCTATGCTGCAGAACCAGTGTCTAATGTCACTGGGTACTGAGTGATCTAAAGGCACAGGAAGAGGCAACCAATTGAACTATTGGATATAAAACCCCATAACCAGGGCTTCGAGGATTCAAAGGTGAAGGGTGCCAATGGCCTCAGGGTTAAAATTGTCAAAGGTCAAGAACTTTGGGAGCAGGACCTTCAGGGGTTGAAGTCTTTTATGAGGGAGGACTTCAGGAAAGTGAGTTAAAAGCTGGGTGTGAAATGGCTTGGGGTGAGCCAAGATGAAGGGTTGATTTTCAGGGATATATTTTGGTTCTGTTCTGAAACTTTGTCAGTGACTGAGGACTAACCAAGAGCCAGGGTCGTGTCCAGCTGTTGCAATGGGTGATTTCTCTGTCTCTGTCTCTCTCTCTCTCTCTCTCTCTCTCTCTCCATGTCCCTTCAGATCATGTATCTTCCTCCCCCCTGGGGCGACTGCAGGATGTCGAACATAAACTCCGGGTTCTTCAGCACCTACAGTATCACAGCGTGCAGGATCGATTGTGAGACTCGCTACCTTGTGGAGAATTGTAACTGCCGCATGGTGCACATGCCGGGTGAGAGACAGACTGAGGGAGACCTCCCCCCCCCCAGTACAGCCACCCCTTCCCCCAGCCCTATGCTCAGTGAAACCACAGACACACCAAACGGACCCACAAACAGTCACCTCCCCAACTCCAACCCTAACCCTGCTGTCCCACCATTATTTTGTGGGTGCTGCACTCTCACAGTCTCTGGGTCGAGGCCTCGATAGTAATAAACGCTGTTGTTTCTCACTCACCAAGAGTTATTGCCTTCAATAAAAACCACAAATCCTTTCTGATGGAAGGTCACACATCTGGGAAGTGACCTCTGTTTCTTCAACAGGAACAGATCCTGTAATACATGCTAAGCATTGTCAGTCTTTAAAAACAAATTCCTGACCATGCTGGAAGTTTGAAACAAAACCAGACTCAGCAGGTCTGGTGGCATCTGTAGTGAGAGAAACAGAGTTAACATTTCAAATCAGCAGCGAATCCCCAAATGCAAAACACAGTGCTGCCCATGCTGGAAATCTGATCTGGAAATCTGATCTGGAGTATAAATTGTTGCTGATTTGAAATGTTAACTCTGTTTCTCTCACTACAGATGCTATCAGACCTGCTGAGTCTGGTTTTGTTTCAGATTTCCAGCATGTGTTTTGCATTTGGGGATTTTCCACGTACTTTGTTTTATTGGAGCTTCTCAAAGGGCTAATAAATTCAACCTCTGTCTCTCGATCTCTCCCTCTGACTCTAACTCTTATACTGTCTGACTTTATAACATGTATTCTCTCTCTGACTCTCTACCTCTCTCCCTCTCTCTCACTTATTTTCTCTATCTCTCACTCTCATCTCTCTCCCACTCTCTCTTTCTCTGTGACTTTCTCTCCTTTCACTCTCTCCCACTCTTTCTTCATTCTCACTCTCTCTCCCACTCTCTTCCCACCAATGTCCTGTCTCACTCTCTTTCTCTTTCTTTCACATTTTCTCTGTCTCTATTTTTCCCTCTCTCATCCACTCACTATCTCAGACTGTCTTTCTAATCCATTATCTCTCTTTCCCTCTCTTTATCTCTCTCTCTTTCCCATTCTCACTCAATCACTTTCTCTATCTCTATATACATCTTTTCTTCTCTCTCTCGTGCTGTCTTTCATTCACTTTGTCTCTACTGGACCTCTCTTTCGCTCACACTTGCTCTCTTTCCTCTCTCTCACTCATTTCTCACTCACTTTCCTGCTCACTTCCTTTGCCTCTATTTTTCCTTGTCTCTCATTCTCGCTCTCTAACAATCACTCACTATAACACACTCTCTCTCACTATAACACATTCTCTCTTTCTCTCTCCCAAACACAGGGAATGCTGACGTGTGCACACCAGAACAGTACAAGGACTGTGCTGACCCAGCCTTGGGTAAGTACTCACACCCTCAACACTGTCCTCAATATTCTCAGCTCCCTTCTCCACACTCTCAACTCCATCCTCCACACTCTCAACTCCCTCCTCCACACTTGTCTTAATGCTTTCTGAACACTTCCCTCAACATCTTCCTCAATTTCCTCTCAATGCTCACCTCAAACCCCTCCTCAATGATGTCCTCAGTGCTGTCCCCAAGCCAAGCATTGCCAATTCTTATTGGACAGAAACTTGGAAGTTTCACTTATAACCTTTCGCCTCTATGTTACTGCTCCACCCACTTGCCCCATACACACAGCATCCAGCTTCTTCCACTGCCAAATAGCAACTCAACAGTCTCTTCCTTGACTGGGAGATAGTAACGGCTGCAGATACTAGAAGTCAGAGTTGATAAAATGTGGAGCTGGAGGAACACAGCAGGTCAGACAGCATCAGAGGAACAGGAAAGCCAACGTTTCAGGTCAGGACCCTTCTTCAGGACTGGGGAGGGAGAAGGGAGCTCAGAAATAAATAGAGGGAGGGAGCGGTTGGGGAAAGGTAGGTGAGATGGTGATAGGTAGATGCAGATAGGAGGTTAGGGAGATGGTCAATAGGAAGGGTGGGGGCGGATAGGTGAAATGGAAGATGGACAGGTTGTGTCAGGTCAAGGAGGTGGGGATGAGAGGGAGGGCTGGACATGGGACAAGACTGAGGGTGGGGAGATTTCGAAGCTGATGAATTCGATGTTGAGGTCATTGGGCTGTAAGCTCCTGAGGTGAAACATAAGGTGTTGTTCCTCCAGTTTACGTGTGGCCTTATTGTGACAGTGGAGAAGGCCCAGGATGGACATGTGGCCAGGGGAGAGGGAGGGGAGGTTGAAATGGCTGGCAACGGGAAGGTGGTTTTGATTGGAGCGTACATGCTCTGCGAATCGGTCATCAAGTCTGCGCTTGGTCTCTGGATGTAGAGGAGACCACATTGGGAGCACCAGACCAGGTTAGAAGACATACAGGTGAATCCCTGTTGGATTTGGAATGATTGTTTGGTGCCTTGGACAGAGGTGAGAGGAGAGGTGTAGGGGCAGGTGTAGCACTTCCTGCAGTTGCAGGGAAAGGTGCTGGGGGTGGTGGGGAGTGTGGAGTGGATGAGGGAATCGCGGAGTGAGCAGTCCCTACAGAAAACAGATAGGGGTGGGGAACAAAATATATTTTTGGTGATTGTAGGTGGTGAAAATGGTGGAGGATGATACATTGGATTTGGAGATTGGTGAGGTGGTATGTGAACCTCTTCCTTGTCTAATTGAAAAGTCTCCAATGGTGAATGTTCTCACACATCGCCGAGAGAATCATTCACACACTTCCATTTTCTTTATGCTCCTGCCATTTCTAATTCCTAAAACCCTGAGCCTCACCTTGATGCATGAATCCAGGTACAAGTTGAGGTCTGATTCCCTGTTCATTCAAATCCTGGTCCAGTTGGGCCTGGGAATTCCTGATTATCTCGGCTCAGGAACCATTCCCCAGGACATGGGGTGTGCTAACCCTATCACATTATCACATCTCTTTCCACTATTCCAATCTTTGTTCAAAACCGCTCTCCTCCAAAACCAAACAGGCTCCCACTCCAAAACTAAACACTTACCGCTCTCTAACACATACCCCTTCCTACAAATCACCTCCCCTCAATCCAAACCAGTCAATGCCAAAATCCTCTGGCCAATTCCCACTTCATTCTGTGTTCCCTCTTGGGCTTTCATTGGTTGTCCTGGGACTGGAGTTATGTGTAGATTCCTTTCCCTGATGGGCACTGTTTTGCAGTTGCAGCTTCAATTGGAATTGCAGCAACTTTGAGGGTGATTTAATCACCTTATGGATTCCCCAGTCTCTGGTGATCCTGGTCTCTAACATCCTTAACACACACAGGTAGATGAACAGAAAGCCACTGTATGGTTGTTTATAATCTTGTTGTACAATCCTTCTTTCTCCAACTTTATTTCCCAATTTACCACCTTGCATTTCTTCTCCACCTGTTTATTTTCTCTGTCCCTCCTTCTCTTTGACTGCATTTCTTTTTGATAAATTCTCTCTGTCTCTATCTTCTTCCTCCTGCCTTTCTCCATTCCTTGCTCGCTCTGTTTCTTGCTACATTTCTCCATCTCTCTGTCCCATACTTTCTCTATTCCTGCCTTTTTCTCATTTCCATGCTGTTCTGTCCCTCCCCTATTTTTCTCTCTTTCTCTCTTCCCCCTTTCTAGAGTTTCTGGTGGAGAAGGACAGTAATTACTGTATGTGTGAGACTCCCTGTAACGTGACACGGTTTGGGAAAGAGATTTCCATGGTGAAGATTCCCAGCAAAGCCTCGGCAAAATTCCTCGCCAAGAAATTTAACAAAACAGAGCAATACATCATGTGAGTATTTCAGGAAAATGCGTGCCTGAATAGTGAGCCTGGGTCGGGGAGAATAGGAAGCAGTGAACAGAAAGGGAATTGGAGTGGGAGGGGATGAGGGAAGCTGTTTCTTGTTCTCTAAATCTCTCTCCCCCGACTCTCTCACACACACTTCCTCCCTCTCTATCTTCCTCTTTCTCCCTCACTCCATCTCCTAACAACTGTGTCTTTCACACACTCCCTCTCATTCCCTTCCTTTCCCTCTATCTGTCTTGTTCCCTGAATAGTGATTGGAACCAGGTGGATCTTATTGACTATGAGATCTTTGTTTGAGGTCAGTCAGGGAGTCATGGCTGACAGATATAAACAGGAGATCCAGAGCCTCCTTAGTTCAGGGGATTGACTCTGAGCTGACTGGCCACAGCTTGTGTAATATGCATTTGTAAATAAAGGGTGACAGGATACCGGACTCTGTTCAGTTATTTCACCCTCCCTCTCCCCTTTCTTTCCCTCCCACTTTCTCACTCCACTATCCTCTACTATCTCACTCCTCTATTCCTCACACTCTCTCCCCATTCTCACTCTCTGTCCGTCACTCTCTCACTCCCTATCTCACTCACTCCACTATCCCCTACTATCTTACTTCCTCTATTCTTCACTCTCTCTCTCCCCAACTCTTTCACTCCCTCTCTCCACTACAGTCTCACTCCTCTTGTCCTCCATTCTCTCACTCCCACTCTTTCACTCCTTCTGTCCCTGACTCTCACTCAGTCATTTTCTCAGTCCCTCACTCTCTTTCTCTTCTCCACTCTCTTTGTCCCTCATTCTCTCTCTCCCCCACACACTCTGTCCCTGACTCCCTCTGTCCCTTACGCTCTCACTCCTTCTGTCTCTCTCTCCCTCTGTCCCTTACGATCTCACTCCTTCTGTCTCTCTCTCCTTCTGTCCCTCACTGTCTCACTCACTTTCTCTGTCTTGTTTCTCAGGGAGAACATTCTGGTGTTGGACATTTTCTTTGAGGCTCTGAACTATGAAACCATTGAACAGAAGAAGGCCTATGAAGTCGCAGGATTACTCGGTGAGTGTTCCTATGGAAACGGGCTCCATGATGAGAGTGTGAGAGCCTTGAATATACTTAACCACCAAGGGCACTTAGATTTCCAGAGGGAATTTGATAAAGTCCCATATCAAAGGTACTATACAAAAGAAAAGCTCATGGTGGCAGGGGTAGAATATTGGGATGGTTTGTAGATTGCTGATTAACAGCAAGTAGAGAGTTGGAATAAATGGGTCTTCCTAAGGTTTGCAAGATGAAGGGATCAGTGTTGGTAGCTCCACTTTTTAATGCTGTATAAATGTCTTGGATGGAGATGGACGGTATGGTTACTAAATTTGATAATGATACAAAGATAGGCAGGAGACACAGTTGTGAGGAAAACATAGAGGGGAGACAAAAACGTAGATAAAACAGTAGGCACAAGTTTGGCAGATGGTGTAAAATGAGGAAATGTTTCCACTATCTGCATCAATGGAGCTGAGATGGAGACGGTCGAAAGCATCAAGTTCCTGAGAGTGACAATACCAACAATCTGTCCTGAACCTCCCATGTTGACGCAACGGCCAAGAAAGCACAACAGCACCTCTACTTCCTCAGGAGGCTAAGGAATTTCGGCATGGTCACATGGTCTCTTACCAATTCTTATAGATGCCCCATAGAAAGCATCCTATCTGGACACATCACAGTGTGGTCGGCAACCGCTCTTCCCAAGATCGCAGGAAACTACAGAGAGTCATGAACACAGCCCAGACCATATTGCAAACAGGTAGCAAAAGTTTCTACAAATATATAAAACGAAAAAGAGTGGCTAAGGTAAACATTGGTCCTTTAAAGGATGAGAAGGGAGATTTAATAATGGGAAATGAGGAAATGACTGAGGCATTGAACAGGTATTTTGCATCAGCCTTCACAGTGGAAGACACAAATAACATGGCAATAATTGATGACAAGGAAGCTGTGGAAGGCGAAGACCTAGAAACTATCATTATCACTAAAGAGGTAGTGTTGGGAAAGTCTCGTAGCCCTGATGGAGTGCATTCCAGAGTAATAAAAGAGATGGCAGGGGAAATAGTAAATACACTCAGGGTAATTTACCAAAATACAGTGGACTCTGGTGCAGTTCTGGTAATTCTTGGAAAACAGCAAATGTGACGGCACCATTTAAAAAAGGAGGTAGACAAAAGGTGGGTAACTGTAGGCTCATTAGCTTAACTTCAGTAACGGGAAAAATGTTTGAATGTATCATCAAGGAAGAAAGAACGAGCCATCTGGTTAGAAATTGTCCCAACAGGTAGACACCGCTTGCGTTCATGAAAGACAGGTCATGTTTAACTAGTTTAATGGAATTCTTTGAGGGCATTATGAGCACGATGGATAACAGGGAACCAGTGGATATGGTGTATCTGAATTTCCAGAAGGCATTCGACAAGGCACCACACAAAAGGCTGCTTCATAAGATAAAGTGGCACAGCATTACAAGTACAACACCTTATGGAGCTGGAGGAACACAGCAGGCCAGGCAGCATCAGAGGAACAGGAAAGTTAACGTTTTGGGTCAGGAATGGGGGATTATGAAGGGAGCTTAGAAATAAATAGAGAAATGGGGTGGGGCTGGGGAAGGTAGGTGGGATGGTGATAGGTGAATGCAGGTAGGGAGTGGTGGGCATTGGTCAGTGGGATGGGTGAGGCGGATAGGTGGGAGGGAAGATGGACAGGTTGTGTCAGGTCAGGGAGGCAGGGATGAGAGGGAGGGTTGGTAATGTGAGGCTGGGGGTGGGGAGATTTTAAAACTGATGAATTCCATAAACCACTCTGGGACCCTACAGCCCAATGGCCTAAACATGGAATTCATCAGTTTTAAAATCTCCCCACCCTCGGCCTCATCCCATGTCCAACGCTCCCTCTCATCCCCGCCTCCTTGACCTGACATAACCTGTCCATCTTCCCTCCATCCACCACACCCAACCCACTGACCAATCCCCACCACTCCCTACCTGCATTCACCTATCACCATCCTATCTGCCTTTCCCTGCCCTACCCCTCCTCTCTCTCTATTTATTTCTGAGCTCCCTTCCCCCTTGCCATTTCTGAAGAAAGGTCCTGTCCCGAAACGTCAACTTTCGTGCTCCTCTGATGCTGCCTGACCTACTGCATTCCTCAGCTCGACACTGTGTTATCTCAGACTACAGCATTGGCAGTTCTTGCTATCTCAGCATTACTGGTAATGTATTAGCATGGATAGAAGATTGGGTAACTAAAGGAAAACAAAGCATGGGGATAAATGGGTATTTTTCTGGTTGGCAATCAGTGGCTAGTGGTGTGCCTCAGGGATCACTTTTGGGACCGTAATTGTTTACTACTTACATAGATAATTTAGAGTTGGGGGCCAAGAGTAGTGTATCAAAGTTTGCAGATGACACTAAGATGAGTGGTAGAGCAAAGTGTGCAGAAGACACTGAAAGTCTGCAGAGGGTGATAGATAGGTTAAGTGAGTGGGCAAGGGTCTGGCAGATGGAGTACAATGTTGGCAAATGTGGGGTCATTCATTTTGGTCCAAGTGACAGCAAAATGGACTATTATTTAAATGGTGAAAAATTGCAGAATGATGCTGTGCAGAGGGACCTAGCTGTCGTTGCGTATGAATCACAAAAAGTTGGTTTGCAGGTACAGCAGGTATTTAAGAAGGCAAATGGAATATTGTCCTTCATTGCTAGAGGGATGGAGTTTAAAAACAGAGAGGTTATGCTGCAGCTGTATAGGTGCTGGTGAGGCCACACCTGGAGTACTGTGTACAGTTTTGGTCTCCTTACTTGAGAAAGGATGTACGGCACTGGAGGGGGTGCAGAGGAGGCTGAGGAGGTTGATTCCAGAGTTGATAGGATTGGTTTATGAGGAGTGATTGAGTAGACTGGGACTGTACTCACTGGAACTTATAAGCATATGTGGAGATCTTATAGAAACATAAAATTACGAACAGCATAGATAAGATAGAAGCGGGGAGGTTGTTTCCGCTGATGGGTGAAATTGGAACAAGAGGGCATAGCCTCAAAATAAATGGGAGCAGATTTAGGACTAAGTTGAGGAGGAACTTCTTCACCCAAAGGGTTGTGAATCTGTGGAATTCCCTGCCCAGTGAAGCAGTTGAGGCTTCTTCATCGAATGTTTTTAAGGCAAAGATAGATTTTTGAAAAGTAAAGGAATTAAGGGTTATGGTGAGCGGGTGGGTAAGTGGAGCTGAGTCCATGAAAAGATCAGCCATGATCTTATTGAATGGCGGGGCAGGCTCGATGGGCCAGATGGCCTACTCTTGCTCCTACTTCTTATAGAATCCCTACAGTGTGGAAAGAGGCCATTTGGCCCAACAAGTCCACTTCAACTCTCAAAAGAGCATCCCACCTGGATTCGCCCCCTTACCCTATCCCTGTAACCCTGCATTTCCCATGACTAATCCCCTTAGCCTACACATCCCTGGACACTACCAGCAATTTAGCATGGCCACTCCACCCTAACCTGCACATCTTTGGACTGTGGGAGGAAACCGGAGAGCCTGGAGGAAACCCACACAGACATGGGGACAATTTGTAAATTCCACACAGACAGTCACCCGAGGGTGGAATTGAACCCGGGTCCCTGGTGGTGTGAGGCAGCAGTGCTAACCTTCTTCCATCCATTGACTCCATCTATGCTTCCTGCTTCGGAAAAGCAACCAACATAATCATAGACCCCTCCCACCCCAGTTATACTCTCTTCCATCCTCTTCCGTCAGGCAGAAGATATAAAAGTTTGAATGCACATATGAACAGATTCAGGGTCAACTTCTTTCCCGCTGTTATCAGACATTTGAACCAACCTCTCAAATATTAATGTTGATCTCTCTCTCTCTCTGCACCTTCTCTGCAACTGTGGCACTATATTCTACACCCTGTTCTACCACCCTAATGCACTTTGTATGGTACGATCTGCCTGTATAGTGTGTAAAACAAAACTTCTCACTGTATCTCAGTACATGTGACAACAATAAATCAAATCAAATCACATTTTGGCAAACAAAATAAAAATGAAGCATATTAATGAAATGGTGAGAGATTGCAGAGCCCTCAGATGCAGTAGGATCTGGGTGTCTGAGTGTATGAATTGTAACATCAACAACAAAATAGCAAACGATTAGGAAAGTTAATAGAACAGTAGCATTTACAGTATGACAGGGTATACACACCTAGATCCCTCTGATCTACTGTCCTTTCCAGGATCCTATCATTCAGAGTATGATCCCTTGCCTTGTTAGCTCTCTCTGTGTGCATTACCTCACACTTTTCCAGGTTGAATTCTATTTGTCACTGCCCTGCCCAGCTGGCCTGTCTGTGGACATTCTCCTGCAATTGACAGCTATCCCCCTCATTACTTACAACCTGATGGACCAATTTTGTGTCATCTGGAAACTTCTTGATCAAATACCCTACGTTTAAAACCAAAACATTAATATATACCACAAACAACACGGGTCCCAGCACTGAGTCCTGTGGAACCCCACAGGAAACAGACTCCCAGTCACAGAGACATCCTCGACAGTCACCCTCTGCTTCCTGCCTTTCAGCCAATTTTGGATCCAACCTGCCACATTGCCTTGGATCCCTTGCACTCTTACTTTCTTGCTCACTCTGCCATGAGGGACCTTGTCAAAATTGCTGTTAAAGTCCATTGCGAGCACATCAAATGCATTCCATCAACACTCCTGGTTACTTCCTCAAAAAGCTCAATCAGAGTTGTCAAACACAACTTTCCATACCAAATCTCCAAGTGCAGGTATATTCTGGTTCTGATTCTCATTGTTCACCTTCCTCTCCTGGGAGTGCAGTCCCCTGCATTCCGAAATAAAACTGCACTCCAGCACTTTACAGGCACAATGCCAGCTCTCCCTAATCGGTGACCTTCACCAAGCCAGTACAGGCCATGGCTCCATTCCTAAGCTGTCATCTCGAATGGCTCTCAGTTCTAACCTTGCATACAGCTGCAAAAACTATTAACAACACACAGATGTCTCTGACCCCCGAAAGCTCTC